CACCCAGGTAGAGTGACAGAGGAGGAGGGGGTGTCTTCTGGCTGTACGTCTCTTTTCTAACAGAGAGTCCCTACTCTTACCGTACTTATATTTGCAGTTGTGACCTGTTTGCTTGCCTATTTCTAACCTTTTTTTTTTTTTCTTTTGACTTTTCTCATTTTCACTTTCTTACTGGATTTCAATAACAGTGAGTTGACTGTCAGGAATAGAAATACTGAAATCTTTGGGGGACTTAAACCAAGAGGAAAGGGTATTTATCAAATGCACGTACCCAGCTATGTTTTAAGTTTCAAAAGTGGCCAGGATAAGATCTTTAAAATGGCAATAAAAAAAGAAAGCTGTTGGTGGGGAGCATTCAAAAGTCCCATTCCAAAATATGTAATTTGTCAAAATCTACTTTTGATGAACCTCTAAGAGACTTGTTAGATTTGGCAATTTTTTTCCTGTACTGTTTTCAGATGATAGTCTTACAGTCTTTACACAAATACCAACCACGACTGCACATCGTTGAAGTCACAGAGGATGGCGTGGAAGACTTGAATGAGCCCTCAAAGACCCAGACCTTTACCTTCTCAGAAACACAATTCATTGCAGTGACTGCCTACCAAAACACTGATGTGAGTGTCTCAAACATCCCAAGAATCTCTAAAGCTAAGTCCACCGTGATGAAGTACTCAACAACTATTTTTGTCCTCTATCTAGATTACTCAACTAAAGATTGATCATAACCCCTTTGCAAAAGGCTTCAGGGACAACTATGATTCGTAAGTGCAGCTTTTATTCACATTTGCACGATCGTTTTCGAACAGGACATACATCATCAGACGCTTTGCTAAGAACATGTTCTAGAAAGAGCTTTCATGTTTGGGATTTTTACCTGTTTTTATTTTTGCATATTTTTTGCCTTTACTAATCTTGCTTTAGAATTTTCACAAAAGAGTTTTGTTAATTTCTAAAGAAATGTTAAGGGCTTAAAAATGAGGAGCTTATTTTTTAACATTTGAGTGGAGATTTGAAATTTTAAGAATCTGCATTTATTTACCTTCTTTTTCATTTGATCCAATGTTTTTGTCCTCACAAGAGCAGATATTACTGTCCTCCTCCCTCCCCCCCCCCTTTTTAAACATAAGAAAAACCTGAAACTAAGAGGATGTAATTTTCACAATATCAAACAGCAAGGCCCTGCTGTTTTAAAATCTGGGTTTTCTAACCCCATAGCCAGCATTGTTTCCCCATCACATTGACAAGGGAGGGTTGCTCCATGTTTTTCACGTTCAAGAACTTATAAAGATTGATTTTCTATAGTTTAAATACTTTTAAAAGCCTGGGAGGAAACTTTTTCTTACATGCTGGGATTTTTCCCAATGAGCCAAGAGTCCAGCTAAAATGGGTCAGTACCTCTCCAACCTCTGTTCCTCCAGTCCAAGAGACGAGTGCTCTCCATACAGAAAACTGGCAGCACAAGCCATTTTCATTTCTGGGAGGTGGTTTGCTTGGGGACAACATTAGTTTTTTTGTTTTTTTTTTTTAAGTATTTCTCTTTATATTGTAGCATGTACACCGCTTCAGAAAATGACAGGTTAACTCCATCTCCCACGGATTCTCCTAGATCCCATCAGATTGTCCCTGGAGGTCGGTACGGCGTTCAGTCCTTCTTCCCGGAGCCCTTTGTCAACACTTTACCTCAAGCCCGATATTATAATGGCGAGAGAACCGTGCCACAGACCAACGGCCTCCTTTCACCCCAACAGAGCGAAGAGGTGGCCAACCCTCCCCAGCGGTGGCTTGTCACGCCTGTCCAGCAACCTGGGACCAACAAACTAGACATCGGTTCCTATGAATCTGAATACACTTCCAGCACCTTGCTCCCATATGGTATTAAATCCTTACCCCTCCAGACGTCCCATGCCCTGGGGTATTACCCTGATCCAACATTCCCTGCAATGGCAGGGTGGGGAGGTCGAGGTTCTTATCAGAGGAAGATGGCAGCTGGACTACCATGGACCTCCAGAACAAGCCCCCCTGTGTTCTCTGAAGATCATCTCTCAAAGGAGAAAGTCAAAGAGGAAATTGGCTCTTCTTGGATAGAGACACCCCCTTCCATCAAGTCTCTAGATTCCAATGATTCGGGGGTATACACCAGTGCTTGCAAGCGAAGGCGGCTGTCTCCTAGCACCTCCAGTAATGAAAATTCTCCCTCCATAAAGTGTGAGGACATTAATGCTGAAGAGTACAGTAAAGACACCTCCAAGGGCATGGGGGGGTATTATGCTTTTTACACAACTCCCTAAAGAGTTATTTTAACCTCATAAAAATTAGCTAACTTTTTGCAGATGGACTTGGTGTTTTTTGTTGTCTTCTTTGCCTAGGTTGCCAAAAAGATGTTTGCCTTCCACCTTGACGCATCCTGTTCTGTGCAATTCTCTAAAAGAAGGTGCCAAAGCTTTTTGATTGCTGCAGGTAACTGAAACAAACCTAGCATTTTTTTTTCTTTTTTAAATAAAATTAATGGAGGACTTTAATGTGTTTTAAAATTTGAAAGTTATTCAAGGTTCTGGATTTATTTATTGGAGACACTAAACATTTAGAGAAACAGGCTGTGAAGATTGATTACCCAGCGCTGTCAAATGAGTTGAAACAATTGATTTTCATTTCTATTTGTAAGCAAGTAGAAGCCCAGTGTTAAGGCGTTTTGGTATTTTGCTTCTAGAAGAGAAGGGCTGGGCCTTAAGCTTCACCTTTTTGCTCTTACCTTCTGCCAGGTGCAAAAGATGTTAGGCCTGGGAGTCAAGAAAAACTTTTGTGAAAGTGCTGGTTTTACCTGACTTTGATTACTCAAAGGCTTTCGGAACAAGCCATGTTTGCCCTAGTCCAGGATTGCCTCACTTGAAACTTGCTAGGCCTCTGCTTGTGTGCTGGAGTGGCCAGTAAGACTCAGGAGAGGACAAGGGAGGGAGTTGCCAAAAAAAAAGGGGGGGTGGGAGACGGGGGGAGAATTTAAAAGTGTACAGTTGTGTGTGTTTAGATAATACTGTAGAATAATGTGGAATATATTGTACAAATAGTCTACATAGGTGTCCGAGATAATGTAAAATTGGTGCTTTGGCTTTGTGAAGAATTTACAAATCACCTAACAGCTGCAGGGGTGAGGGGATAGTTTCATCATCCCCAGATATTTGGGACAATTCTGTTTACTTCTTAGATAGTTAAGAATGTACTCAGCTACTCTGTACTAACTTGAAACGTGTTTAGGGAAAACTATTTCATCCTCTTCCTTCAGCCATCCCCACTCCCCAACTTGATAATGTGAAGTAACTAAAAACCTGATGCCACAGCTCCTATAGACTTTCTAGAGATCTTGGATTTTTATGTACAGTCTTAGTCATTTTTAATAAATGTGGTTCAATAAGGGAAGGGCATAGCTCTGTCTTCTGTACTGTGGGTTTTAATCAAGACCTCATTCTGCTCCCTTCTCCATCCTTTTTCAGCGTGAACACTGTCTCACACCCGCCTCCCCCCACCCCCCCATGGAAGGCTCTAGAATCTATAACTGGATACTGTAGTCAGGGGGTGGGGGTGGGGATGCTTTTGTTTATCTTCTTTTTTCCTTGAGACTGAATGGGGCTATTTCCTCACCCCACTGCGAAATCTGGACAATGGGTGTTGGCTGGGGGAAGGGGAGGGAGTGTTGCCGCCGAGATGCAAGATTGCCCACATCAGACTTAATCCAAGCCTCGGAGACCTCCGCCCCCGGCCCCTGGAGCTCTGCCTCAGCCCTTGGCCACTTCGTTCTCTGGGATTTTTCCTAGGCTTACTTGGGGCCACCCATCTCTGGGCCCACGTAGGTTCCCCGGGAACCCCCGCCGCCCTTTGAGCGCCCACGAGTTCCGGGTCGGTGGCGCGCGGCAGGGCGCGGAGGCCACCCACAGCTGCGGTTTCTTCTGAACGGTGACACTCGGGCGCACCCGCCCGCCGCGGGCTGCTCCTTAGCCCGCAGCCAAACTTGGCCGGGGACGCTGGGGCTGGGGCTGCGGCGCGGGCTGGGGGCGGGCGCGGCCCCTACAAAGAAGGATTCCAGTCGTCCTGCGCACCGCCGCTGTGCAAAGCCGCGGCTGGGGAGCGGTTCACCTTGCCTTGAGCTTCATTTATTTTTTGGTTTCCATGCCCCGGGAGGACGGACACCCCATCCCTGACTGAACCCTGGGCCCGCTGAAGAGTTAACCAAGGAGTGGGGCCGAGGGCCCTTTGTCCCCCCCGCCAGACGTCCCGCCAGGCTTATCTGCAGACGGCTTCAGGCCCGGCTTGCAAACCTTTCCAGCCCCCTCCTGACCCTCCCGGGGTAAAGGTCTGGCTGGGAGGGTCATTCTGCTAACTGCGTGGCACGGAAATGCAGCGGCTAAGAGGATTAGCTGCTGGGAGGCGAGCAATCAGCCGGGACCTCCTCCTCCTGTGCGCCCAATTAAGGCCACCAGTAGTAGCTTGTACCTTGACTGTCCCGTCTCCCATCCCCTCCATCCTTCTGGGGTCTGAGTTCTTCCCGCGTCGCCAGTGACCTTGGGGCTCGAGCTCCAGCTCCGCGTTTCCGATCGTGCCTGCTCAAAACGCTTTGATAAAGCCGTCCCTAATTTTACCGGGGAGCCAGGGGCGAAAGCTTTGAAGATTAGTATTATGTATATATACGTATATATATCATATAAGTAAACCATCCACCGCATATATATTCCCCTCGGAAAAGGGAACCCACAGCTCGCCTCACCTGGTCAGTGCCTCTCCCCCCCCCCCGCCCCTTTACATCCGCATCCAACCATCACCTACTGGGAGATGCGATGGAATTTCAAAACCGTGCTTTCCTATTTCTGCCCTCTAGAAAGCCCGAAAATGCTAATCACTGCAGGGATAAAGCAGACTCCGGCCCTAGTCTATTTCGAGTCCTGTATATTTTTGCACCGTACAGTAAAAAGAACCTGATACTTGTGAAAAGTCCCTCACAGTGTTTAATAGAAACGTAAGTGGCTGAGTGGCCCCAATTAACACCTTTTGATAAGGCATTCCTAAGATGGAGTGTCAGACACCAAATTGTGAAGAGATGTATCTAATTAATCCTCCTAGGATGACACCGATAAACAAGCCTCTATTTAAATAAAGATCAAGGGCTCTGGGCCCCGTTTGTTTACATTCTCCGGTAGGGTCCCCGCGTTTGCGGGGGTGCAGGCGGCGCTCCCCGCACTGGGCGCAGACACTGGCTTGGGGGCCTGCTGGCTCACCTGGGTTCTCTTCTCCGTTCTTGCCCCCAAACAAAAAGTGCATAATAAAATAAACAAACTGCAATGAAAGAAGATGCAGTGCAAGAAGGACCCAGCTCGGAGTTGCAAATACTATTGGCTATCTTCCAAGCGTGTCTTTTACATAGCCAAACACTTTTTGGTTGTTCGATCAGGATAAAAAACGAAAAAGGAGAAAAGGCAGCTCACACGTATGCCCTGGAATCCTTTTCCACTTCGGGGAGAATTCGCAGCAGGACCTTCATCCCACCACCAACACTCCCCGGCACGGGTGCGCTCGCCGTGGTTCCAGGATTTTTCCTCCTCCGCGCAGAAGCTGGGAATGGCTGGGACGTAGGGTGGCTGCCCTGGGGGTAGGGTGGGGAGCCGCCAGCGTCTGGAAGGAAAACTGGGAAAGGCGGGGAGAGTCGGAAAACAACTTGGGGAGGAGGGGAAGCTGCAGACTAACGCGCCATATCCTCACTCTGTGGTTGGGCTCGGATTTGGAGCCTATTTGAAGTCTGCAGCAACGTCTCTCTCAACCCCGCACTCGAGACTTTCGAGGCTCCAAATCTGCTTTTGGCCCCATTTTCCCTTCTTTCCGGCCGCTTTTGATTAGCTTTAAACTCGGGTAAAGGCTAACGATCTTCCCTGTCCTCTTCAGTTTCTTCTTTAATTCTCAAACATGGGGAGGGGAGGGATGCTTTTTTTTTTTTTTTTAAATCTCCGCGGGTGTCATGAAGACTCTCCGGAATAAAAACATTCCCTCATGGCTGTTGATTTTTATCGACATTCAGCCGCCAGTAGGGACAAAAATTAAGACCATTCCTTTCCCAGTCGCCTGAACGCCGCGACCCTCCCCTTCCCGGCTAGTGCCGCGATGTCCCCCACCGCGCTGCACGCCGACTCCAAAAGTTTAGCTTTCACCCCGCGGAGATTTCGAAATCACTGGGAGGCTCTTTCTAAAATGCAATTTGCAAAAATCTGTTGGTGAGCCCGATTGAGTCCCCCTCTGTGAAATACTCATCCCCCCTCCCCCTCTCCCTCCCCCCCCCAATTCCTCAAGTTTAGCCTTTTAAATATGCGAACTCCGCAGGTCCAGCCCAGGAGGACTCCGGCCCGAGAAACCCGTCCACCTGCACCTGTCTTCGTCGGGGGTCGGGTTCCCTCCTGCCGCTCGCAGAGGCCTGAGCCCAGCGCACAGGTTCGGGGTTCGCGGGGCTGCCCGCGCGCCTGGACTCTACATGGGCAGGATTTCCTCCCGGGCGCAGGAGCTGAGCTCGGTTCGTGGGCGGTCTGAAGTTACCGACACCGTTTTGTTTTGTTTTTTAAAGACGATGAGACTCCGATCTGGATGGTCACTGAATTTCTCCTTATGAAGGCTTAAAAGAAAAGTAACCTCCTCCTGTCCCCACACACACAGGGCCACACACCTTCTCCCGCCCTGGGTATCCTCTGCGGGTTGCCAAGAATGCGTAGCGAGTTCTCCAAGGAAAGGACTTAGCTTTGCCAGATGCTGAATACATTCAGAGATGGTCCCCAAAGTGCCCCCGCGTCGGATGGATTTCTCAGCGCCGCCGAAGCGCGGGGTCACTGCTTATTTTAGGTAGCACCCGCCTCCAACGTTAATTTACCTCCGCCTCTTTAAAAAGCCCCCAAAGCTCCTTCTATAAGCCCTTGTGGAGGCGGTAGGGTTCACACAGTCACTTTTGTAACTTGACGCTCGACCCAGCTTTCCCCACTCGGTTGGCGAAGAAAAGGGACCCTGAGCCTGGCCCTTGGCCTCCAGGCCTGGACGCCGTTTCCGCGCAGGGCTGCGGGCGGCCTTCGCCATCTGGTGGTCACGGAGTGTAAAGACCTCCCCAGCTGAACAGGGGCTTCTTCCCCACTCTTTTCTTACAGGTCGCTGCTTTGTTAGGTCCTGAAGCTTTCTGTAAGAGTCTTCATTCCACTCTTCTGCTTCCTTATAAAGCTTCTTGGTGTGGGGAAGGAGTCCCGAATTTGGAGTTCTAAGACTTGAGTTCTAGTCCTTGGGCGCCGCTTACTAGCTGTACTGTCCTCGGTGGACATCCCAACAGCATCTTCCCCAGCAAGGAGTACCAAGAAGGAAGAAATGAGATTATTAACCTAACTGCTTTGTAAACCGTTGAATAGCTCCGAATATTAATAGGCATTATTAGTTACTAATTTTATAACATATGTGAGTAAACGAATGCATTCGCAAAGAAAAGATTTATTTATTTTGCTTATTATAAAGGATGTTATGAAAATATTTTTTATTAATTCAAAAATAATTATGGAAAATTTCAAACATTCACAAAAGTAGAGATCAACGGGCACCATATATCCGTATCCCAACCACAAAAACCATCAATTCATGCCCTTTTTCTTTCATCCTAGAATCCCCACCCCACTGTTTCCACCACAAATCCTGGAAGTCCTGTCATCTAATCCACAGTTATCTCCATGCATAGTCCTAAAAGATAAAGACTCTTTTAAGATATATATATATATAACTATGATACATTATCCCACCTACATATCCAACAGTAATTCTCAGTATCATGAAGTATCCAGGTACATTTCCCTGATTGTCTCATAAGGTTGTTGTTCTTTTTGTTTGTTTTTTACAGTTCGTTTGTTTTACTCAGTACCCAAACAAATTGATGTGTCACTTAATTCTCTTAATCTAGAGGTCTTCTCCCTCACTCCCCTCTTTTATTTTCCCCTGCAATTTATTGAAGAAATCTGGGTATTTGTTCTGTCTAGTTTTCCAGGTTCTGGATTTTGCTGATTGCATTCCTGTGGTGTTAGCATGATCCTTTGACCTTTGTTTTTCCAACAAAGTGGCATTACTATATGAAGACTTGATCTGATTCAGATTCTGTTTTTTTGGTAATAATATTTCATAGGTGGTAATATTCCATCAGGAGGCGCGTGATGTTTGGTTGTCTCTCTTTGGGGCATGCTGATGTCTATTGATTATTATCAACTAGATCCATTTCATTAAGGGAATGACGAAGGAGGTAAATTTTAGTACAGCTGTTATTATCAACTACAATGCCTTGATTACTAAAGTTTAACCTTCTAAATTCCCTCCATTGTTTTGAGGTATCCCCAAAGAGAATGTTTCAAAAACAGCTGGAAAACTGGACTTTCATGTGAAAACTTCTCTACTTTTTTATATTGGCATATTATTTGAAAAATTTAAATAACCAAAACACTTTTGTGAGGAAGTTTCAGCTATGAACAGCTAGCTTTTGGCTACTCATCTAGACCAGTGATTTGATTTTAAGTTTTACTCAATGGCACTTTGAATGTGACATTAAGCGAAGTGAACCAAAAAGCCAAGGTCTCTGTTATTTACATATCATCATAGGAAAACAGCAGTGGCATGTCTCTGGGGAAAATGGTACATAGAAAACCAAGTGATAAAATTGACACAGTGCATACATTGGTAAGATTTAGCCGTTGAAACACATTCATTGAAAGTCTGATATGCACAAAATTGGTAAGAAATCATATTAAACTAGTTCATAGCAAAGTGATAAAGTATGTTTCTATTTGCTTTTCTACTCCCAGGGCAAATTATCAATCTTCTAAACCCTTTAAAATATATATTTCAAGAACTCATAAAGGGGAGCATCACATGGAAATAGTAAGAGATAAGAAGAACTATCAATTAATTTGATGGTTGTTATGGGAGAAGAGGAGTAATTTCATCCATGACGAGTAAAAAGAAGGCGTCTCTTACCACTTGGATGGAGTGGGGGAAGGGTTTGAGGAGGGAATCTTAGGGATAAAAGAGGTAAGTGAAAGTCCAGGTTCCTATTCACAGCACAGAACTTCTGCAACTGGGATGGAATTGGTAACTGAGACTATCATGGCAATTCTAAGAATAACAAGGGTGGATTTTAACACATAGATGCCATTGTTGTGATCCTGTCCCCTTCCCCATCCCAGACACTAAATGGGAGCCTATTCCACAGGCCCTGGGCAGTTAGAATGTTTGCTGCAGTGGTCTGTCTTTGTCACCATTTCTCTTGAAATGTGCCAACTTTAATGCCATAAGAATATGGCCTTCTGTTGAACAGGACTTCTTCCGAAGTCCCCAAACCCATTGCTATTACTTGAGTTACTGTATTGGAGAGCTGCAGGCACCTTAGAGACTGCTCTAGATCTGTCCACCCCACTATACAGAGGCAGGAACTGAGTATCACAGTGGTTATAAGGTTTGCCAGGACACTTGAAGAACCCATTGGTTCTGCAATGCGCCATGGATTGGACCTTATATTTTATACATAAAATATTTTAGAGGCCTGATAAATATTTAGTCATGAAAATGTTAAGTTTTAAAGCATAGCTTTTATTGTTGTTTATATTGTTTTTCAGGGGATGGATGATATTTGAGATCTAAATGGATCAATGGTTAGTCTTTCTTTTTTTCTAAAATATAAGTCTGTAACAGAGTGGCATCTGCTTCCACTTGCACTTTAGCCTATACTTAGCTCTGGGATAGTGAATTCTCAGAATATATGTTCTCTGCCCTATATATTTGCTGGTTTTCTTAATCTTGGCAGGTAGGTTTTGTCTTTATTTTATAGGTCTAAAATCCAAGTAGTCTTTGGTATGTTACTTCTTACAGGATTCTAGCTTTTCTGCTAAAAAGATGATTGATATAATGAACCAAATAGTCTGTACTCATCACTAAATATTTAGAAGGCTGCAGATAGAAAGTACGTAGCTGTTTCAGAAAAGCAAAGAGAAGTATGGGTTGAGTTAGTATGCTAAAATGCATATACTAGTACTTACTTACATGTGGGAGTGTGCATTTGTGCTCCAGAGCTGAATATCATTAAGCTGAGATCACAGAGTGCAGAATATGATTAGAATATAATGATAAGATGGTATCTAATATTTCCTTTAGGGACCCTTCTGCTCAGAGCTGTCAAAACAGATTGTGTAAATAGAATAGACTGTGGGAGGTGATCCTAATGATACTGATGTAAAGCTTATCTGAAAGACAGAATGTAAATAGAAGAGAGTCTCTAGGAATACAATTAAATATTAATCTGGAGGTGGATGCCTCAAAATAACTCCCCCTGTTTCCTCCTTCATTTTCAGCAAAAAAGAAACTCGCTGAGAAAAGGCAAGGCAGTATTTTGAAGTCCTGCGATGTCCTCATTCCTCTCAGAGTTTAAGGGAAAAAATTATGAGTCATGTTCTTAGCCGGATTCCTGAGAAGCAGGGTTCCTGCAGGAGATCATGGTTGTAATCAGGGCAATTTGGTCGGCCAAGTATTCTATAGGTTTCTCTGTGTATGTTTTCTAACTTTCTTCCACTTAGGCAGCGTCTCTGAATCCCAAAGGGAAAACAGTATAGATAAGACGATTTGATAATGCTGCTGCTTGGAAAAGACTTGGACAACCTGCAGTAAACTAGCAAGAAGGAGGCTAGACCCATCTTCTAGTCTCTGATCCCCATCAGTGCCCCTGCTTAGCTGAACCCAATGAGGTCAGCCTCCTGGGCACAGGGCAGGATGGAAAAGAATGAAAGGTGGAACTGGGGGCAATGAAGAAGAAATCCAGCCCAGCTGACACCCTATAATGCCTTGACTGCTAAAGGTTAGCCTCCTAACCTCCATTGTTTTGAGATATCCCCAAAAAGAATGTTTCAAAAATAGCTGGAAATATGAATTTTTATAAAACTTCACTACTTTTTGGTATTGGCCAATCATTTAAAAAACTTAAAGAACCAAAACACTTCTGTGAAGAAGTTGTGGATAGCTAGCTTTTGACTACTGATCCAGACCAATGATTTGATTTTAATTAAATCTCAAAAATGTCAACAGCAGGACTTCTGCTCTAAACAAGACAGAGCAACAGAGATGCAAATTAACTTTCTGCCTGAAAAAAAAAATCTGTAAACCAAAGAAAATATATTTAAAGAATGGATTCCAAGACGTTGGACATCAGACAATGTGGAATGGCAACACATTAAAGAAGAGGAACAAATGAGGAAAGCCCTAATGTTACTCCAACTTACCACCTACACAGATTCCAGGCTCAGAGTGGGATTGGGGTCCAGGCAAAGCTCCCCAGTCTCCCTGATTTGAGGATTCAAAGCTGTGAGGTTGGGGAGGCCAAGATATCTAGAGTAGAGTTCCAGAGAGGAGAGAGCTCCACTGAGAGATAAATCCAAAGAACCAAATAGATCCGCCTCAACTCCCCACCTGAGTGCTGATTAGCAAATCCATGTCAAGAAACTACCTAAAGCCCTGGGAATAAACCACCCAAAAGCATTATACATGCTTTCTCATCATCAGCACTATTGATATTTTGGGGTAGATAATTTTATATTGTGAGGGCTGCATTGTAGGATATTTAGCACCATCCTGGCTTCTAGTAACAAGATGCCCGTAGTACTCCCCCACCAGTTGTGACAACCAAAAGTATCTCCTGACATTGCCAAATGTCCACTGTGGGGTAAAATTGCCCACATCTGAGAACCACTGGATGACAGATGTTTACATTGCCTGGGGATTGTCCCACTAGCCAGAGTGGAAAACTTCACAATTCATGGGGTGTCAGGAAGAAAACTTGGAGGCTCTTTTCTCAGTGTGGGGTTAAAGTAGGCCTGGCCTAAATGTTGCTCTGGTCTTATCTAACAAAGCTTACAAGCAAGAACTGAAACTTAACTACATCCCGGAAGAAAGCTCAAGTGTATTTATAGTAATAAAAATAAGAACCAGCATAAAACAAGGAAAAATTTTAAATGTATAGCATTCAATAAAAATTTACCAGACATTAAAAGAATCAAGAAAATATGAAATCAATGGGGAGGAAAAAATCAATCAAAACCAACCCCAAATGATACAAATGATAAAATTAGTAGACAAGGATATTAAATGGTTATTACAACTGTATTCTATATGTTCAAAAAGCTACAAAAAGATTGAACATGGAATGTAAAGACATGGATGATATTTTCTTTTTTCATTTATTTTTTTAAGTTAACATAATTTATTTATAATAAAATGAGCAATTTGATGGCCATATACACACATATATAAATATATATGAAAACCTAAAAATGTAACATCCTTAGATTATATTCAGGGATTTTATGGTGCTATAATTTCCTTGCGATTTTTTGTTATGTCTTAAATAGTCGATAAAAAGTTACGTTTATAAGTGAAGAATACTCAGGATTATGGATATATCCTTATCCATTTAACTCGTTCCCTTTTTCATGGATGCTGAGGAGTTTCCAGTTCCCAATTCAAATCCTCAGAGCTCAGGGGGAAAAAACTCACTTTCATGAACTCACATCATCAGAAAATACAATATCAGCTCATTTTCCACACATCAGACTAATCTCAAGTTTGCCTTCCCACCTTGCCAGAGGGAAGAAATGCCAATGTGTGTCTTGTAGACATGTTCTCCTTGGCTTGGTTTGGTTAGAGTTCATGGTTTTTCCAGACTGTGAAGGATGTGGTGAATGCAGCAGGAGGTTATATCTGTCAGGAAAATGCTTCTGTTCAGAAGGATTTAGAGCTTCCCAAGGCAGTATGGAGCTTTGAAACACTCCTTCGCTCAGTGAAATGAGTACAGAAGGTAACCACTGCCCACACACAGAGCAAAAATCTCCCTTTCGGTTTCCCAAGTAGTTTATCCTTCTCCCTGCATTAGTCTTGCTCCAGGATGGGATGTCCTTGTTCATCATTCTTTAAAGCATACTGACTCTACATCAAAGGAAAGGAAGACTGAACCAGAGTCATGAGAATGACAACTTCCTTCTCCTGGAGCTCAGGCCCCAGAGAGCTTTGCAGTACGTAGAGCAGAGGCTGGAAATCTTCCTCACTAAGGAGTGATTGGGTCCTCTAAGGGATCCTCTTCCTGCAGATCAGGATTTAGAAAACATACCTTTAACTGAAAATCTGTAGATGAAAGGAGTTGATCTAAAGGCTTGAAGTTTCTACATATTACTGCTGCGGTTGGCCAAGTGGATGAGATGGCTCTCCAGTTAACTGTGCCTCTTGCTGCCACAATTCTGTTTCACTGTGTCCCTTTGAGAGGGTCCCTTTCTGCAATCAGAGTGTGGTGGCCCTCATCCCACCACTGCATAATGTAAGATATGTCAATCTGACCCACATCCTGAGATTGTTGTTTTTTTGTGCTCAGGATGAGGCTGAGAATAGCTCTTTAACCATGGTACTCCTGTGCCAGTATGTTCTTTGTGATTTTGACATTGTTCTTGGTATTGGATCCAGAAAGGAGTGTGAGTATGTGGGAAGTCCTCTCCCAGAGATGGAAGTATTGGCTAGTGATTCATAAGCATCAGAGGGGGTCAGAGTCCTCCCCTCCCTGCACACCCTGTGTGGGCAGTGTGATCATGACATCGGTCCTTGGCTCATACAGACCTGAAGGGATCCCATGGAACAAATGACACATGGGATAGAAGAAGAGAAGGTGGAAATTTTGGGTTCTTGCTGAAAGAATTAGAGGAAGAAAAATGATGAGACTTGCCTGGGATAGTGTACAGGTCGGTTTGGTGCTGCTGAATAGTCAGGTCTGGTCTCCTACTTGGGTCATGTACCAAGAAATTTATGGCTGCTTTCTGCTCTGGTCAGGGTACAAAGATCTTTGGTTCCGAAACTGCATTTGAATTCTTGATTCCAGATGCCTGTATTTTAAGCCAGTTTTTTCCTGGTGGCAATAACAGGTAATCAGTTCTCTCAAATGCTTGAACTAGTTTTCTGGGTTGAGTTCTTATGATGGATGTCTGGTCTTCTTGTGTGGCTTATTTGTGTTTTTTGTTTGTTTGTTTGTTTGTTTTTTTAAAGATGACCGGTAAGGGGATCTTAACCCTTGACTTGGTGTTGTCAGCACCATGCTTACCTAGTGAGCGAACCGGCCATCCCTATATAGGGATCCAAACCCATGTGGCTTCTTTTGAAAAGTATTCTTGAGTCCAAGACTGAAACTGGTCATGCCCCTGGGTTTGATCTTTCCCTAAGGAGCATCCAGACTCCAGTTCCTTCTGTTTCAATCTACAGTTTTTAAACCAAATCTGAATTTTAGACTTTGGAACACCAATCTCTTTGGTCAGTTGTTCCCTGGTAGCTTTATCAGGGTGAGGGCTGTGTTCAAACCTTCAGGGGATCCTTCTGACTCCAGTATGAACAACTGACCTTGTCCAGTTTCCTTTTGTAGTGTGCCACTTGGAGTGTTGTTCAGATCCATCTTGGGAAGAAGACCCAGTGGGCAACCAAACAGCTCCCAAAGACACAGGATTTGTCCAGGCCCAGGGTTACCCCACCATTTCTTAAATACCTTTCAACTTAATCCCTTCATTAAATATTAAACACCTTTAAAAAAAACTTTGAAGTAATCAGATTAAGTGGAAGTGCAGATTCTGCTAGGTGATTTTACATCTTTCATAATACCTTTCCAAATATGACTCGGAATCTGTGCTAAGATATATATATATGTGTGTGTGTATGTATGTGGATATATATGTACATAAGCATTTTGTCTTCCCATGGGGCAATTTCAAGCAGCCTAACATACATGAGAAGGGTACAGAAAAGATATTTGAAAAAGTAATGGACAAAAATTTTCATATTTAAGGAAAATTATAAATCTGCCAATCCAAAGAACTCAATGAATCCAATCACAAGAAACATGAAGAAAACTACACCAAGGCTCATCTTAATCAAATCGCTTAAAACCAGTGATAAAGAGAAAGACATAAAAGCAGTCAGGGGGAAAAAAAGACATTATGTACAAAGGAAGAAAGATAAAATAACAGCAAAAAATAAGTAAGCCAGATGACAGTGGAACACCGTCTTCAAAGCACTGAAAGAATAAAACTATCAACCCAGAGTTCTATACCCAAGGAAAATACCTTTGGAAAACAATGGTGAAATATTACCCAAGGAAAATACCTTTGGAAAACAATGGTGAAATACTTTTTCAGACATACAAAAGCTAAAAGAATTTATTACCAGCAGACCTGCACTACAAGAAAGTTAAAAGAAATGCTTTAGGCAGAAGAAAAATGATACCAAATGGAAATCTGGATCTACATATAGGAATAAAGAGCACCAAAATAAATACAAAAGAAGGTTTTCTTTTCTTTTTTTCTTCTGTCCTTTTTGAGACCGGCCACACTGCGCTCAGCCAGTGAGCGCTGTGAGCGCACCGGTCATCCCTATATAGGATCCGAACCCACGGCTGGAGCGCTGCTGCACTCCCAGCGCCACACTCTCCCGAGTGCGCCACGGGCTCGGCCTGGTTTTCTTATTTTTTAAATCTCTTTAAAAGAAAATCGACTATTTAAAGCAAAAATAATAACAAGCTATTGGGGTGCTTATAACATACAAAGAAGTAAATTATATGACAACTATAATACAAAGGCTGAAGGGGGAGAAATGGAAGAGTATTATTTTAAGTTCATATGCCATGCATCAAGTGGTGTAATATCACTTGAAGGTAAACTGTGATAAATTAAAGGCATTTACTAGAAATCCTAAAGAAACCACTAAAATAGCACAACAAGAATTATAGCTAATAAACTAAGAAAAGAGGTAAAATAAAATCATGAAAAAAATAATTTAACCCAAAGTAGGCACAAGAAGAAAAAAAAGGAAACAAAGAACATATCGGATAAATAGAAAATGGATAACAATGTAGTAGATTTAAACCCAACTATATCAATAATCGCATTTAATGTAGATGGCTTACACACCTGAATTAAAATTCAGAGATTTTATTGGATTAAAAAGCAGGAACTAACTATGTGCTGCTTATAAGAAACCCACTTTAAATATAAAGACATGCATAGTTTAAAATTAAAAAGATTAAAAAAGATATGCTAATACTAATCACAAAAAAGCTAGATAAACTATATTAATATCAAAGTAGATTTTATAGCTGAAGGGGGAGAAATGGAAGAGTATTATTTTAAGTTCATATGCCATGCATCAAGTGGTGTAATATCACTTGAAGGTAAACTGTGATAAATTAAAGGCATTTACTAGAAATCCTAAAGAAACCACTAAAATAGCACAACAAAGAATTATAGCTAATAAACTAAGAAAAGAGGTAAAATAAAATCATGAAAAAAATAATTTAACCCAAAGTAGGCACAAGAAGAAAAAAAAGGAAACAAAGAACATATCGGATAAATAGAAAATGGATAACAATGTAGTAGATTTAAACCCAAGTATATCAATAATCGCATTTAATGTAGATGGCTTACACACCTGAATTAAAATTCAGAGATTTTATTGGATTAAAAAGCAGGAACCAACTATGTGCTGCCTATAAGAAACCCACTTTAAATATAAAGACATGCATAGTTTAAAATTTAAAAGATTAAAAAAGATATGCTAATACTAATCACAAAAAAGCTAGATAAACTATATTAATATCAAAGTAGATTTTATAATAAAAAATATAATCTGTCATTTAATAATAATGGTATAAATTTACCAAGAGGTCATAACAATCCTAAGCACTTATGTACCTAATAACAGATTTATCCCAGATTGATGTAACATTCTAAAATCAATCATTGTAATTCACCATGTTAACAGACTAGAAATGAGAAACCATGATTGTCTCCATAGATGCAGAAAAAACATATGACAAAATAAAACATTCATTCCTGACAAAAACTCTCAGCAAAGTGGAACTAGAATTCCCTCAACCTATAAAGGGCATCTGTGAAAAACCTAGAACTAACATCATACTTAATGATGAAAGATGGAATGATTTTCCCCTAAAATGAGAAGCAAGATGAGGATGTCTTCTTTCACTATTTTTACTCAACATTATTTTGGAGGTTCTAGCCAGTGCAATAAGGAAACAGAAAGCAATAAAAGGCTTCCAGATTAGAAAGGTCGAAGTAAAACTGTTCATTTGCAGATAATGTATCATCTACTGGAAAAATTCTATAAAAATGCCATTGTAACTAATAAATACTTTTAGCAGGGTTGTAAAATACAAGATCAATATACAAAAGGCAATTGTATTTTTTATATATTAGCCACAAACAATTAGAAATTGAAATTAAAATACTATTAATAATAGTGTCAAAAATGTAAAATGCTTAGGTATAGACCTTACAAAAGATGTGAAAGACCTATACTCTGAAAGCTACAAAATATTGCTGAGAGAGATGAAAGAAGGTTCCTAACTAAATAGGAAGCTATACACATATATAGTGTTCATAGGTCAGAAGGCTCAGTATTGTTGAGAAATAAATTTTTCTGAAGTTGAAATATGAATTTAGTTCATTACAAATCTCAAAAGGTTTTTTTTTTTTTTTTAGAAATTAGCAAGATGATTCTAAAATTCTTCTGGAAATGGAAAAGACCTAGAATAGGCAAAAAAAGCTTTGGAGAAAAAAAAAAAGTTGGAGGACTTACATTATCTATCTTCAAGATCTGTTGTAAAGTTACACTAATCAAGAAAGACAGTATGCAATTGGCATAAAAATGTAACCAAATATCATGTCTGGATGTAAGCCTCACAACTGACTTCCAACAAAGGTGCAAAAGCAATTCAGTGGAGAAAAGGTAGTCTTTTAAACAAATGGTGTTGAAACAATTGGATATCCATATGCAATCCATACCTCAC